AAGAAGTTAACCTAGGTGCTTTTCATAGGTGGTTTAATTTAATCCATATGACTTCACATTTTGGAAAACTGGGGCCAAAGGAAATTGAGCAATTTATATAAGGTCATGGATAGTGGCCATACCATAACATGAACCCAGATTTTTCTGACTACAATGCTCAAGACCTTTCTACTTCACTACATACCATTCTGGTTTGTCGCTGTCAGTAACATAAGTATAATTTTAATTTAGTGGGCCAGATTCACCTTGCTCGGAGATGAACTTCAATTATAAAAGCAGAGATTTCATGAAAACTCTTGCCCTGTTTGGTCTATATCATAAAGAAGCAAATATTTAAAAAAAATTTTTTTGATCTAGAGTTAAATATTATTTTTGATCTATAGTTAACATCAAAGAATGCATAGCACAAAACTGGAATAGCAGAAATTTAGCTATAGTTTTGATAAAACACACTCATAAAATCAGAATATACAGAACAAATACCTTTTCTGAGAGTGTATTATTACATATTAAGGAAAAAAGGTTGTTGGTTTTGTTCTCCCTCCATGTTTTGCCTTTTTTTCTTAATGTTTTCAGTTTGTATTCCACTGCAGGAGATAAGCCACCATTCCACTCTAAAACTAGCTATTTTTGTTGACTTTGAGCAGGTTACTTACCCACAGTCAACTATTTCAGTCTCCTCATCTGTAAAGAAATACCAAAAAAGATGAATACTGAATTTCAGATAATAAATGTTATTGAACAAAAGGGATAGAATTATGCCCAACAGGAAAACTCTGTACTGTTCTAAAATGAGTTAATTATCTTAACAGATTTGTAATTTATTAATTATAAAATTACTTCCTCATTTTGGAAGTATTAGTCTGCCCTTTGCCTAATATTTAATGTGGTATCATCTGGTTTAGGGCATACAATACTGTACAATAATAAAATACTAGACTATGTGGATTACTAGTTGTCATTCAAAATAAACATAATCCTATGATAGTTAAATTATCGCTTGCACTTAATTTGATGTAAATTACAACATAAAAACAAAATAACCTGGTCATATTTTCCAACAATTATCAATTCCAACTCATCTGTCCTCATGATTGTAAAGAAAAAACATGTATTTCTGACATATAGAGGGTTTGTGAGTGTGCTTTACTGTAAAAGGACTTGGAGATCAAGTTGATAATTTAAGTAAAAACTACAAAATAAATAACAATTTACTAACTTTCTTCTCATTTTCTCGCTCCTGAGTGGAGTTGACTCTAGGAAGAAGAGAGCCAAGACTCTGTTCTTCAGCTTTAGTTTTCTCATCGGCAAAATGAGGATAATAAAACCCAATTTTAACAAGGATTGAGATTACATTTGTTGAGTGACCTTGGCTTTGTTATTTCACTTCTTTTAACTTTTGTCTTACTCATTTGTAAAACAGGGCTATTATTACTCACCTTGTTTATGTAGATTTGTTGTGGGGATCACATTTAAAAAAATGGCATGTAAAAATGCTTTTAAAAGTACTATAAAATATAAGAGTAATTATTTCCAAAAGCAACTACCACTGGTACAATTTTTCCTTGCTAAACAGTGCTGCATATTCTTAGGTAAAATATTATTAGGAAAGGGATTCAAAGTCTTTTCTCTGTATGACTCTTTTCTTATTGCAGCTGCTTTCCTAGGGAAACAAGATATAGTTCTATCTTTGTATTTGTCTAGGTTATAGAAAAGTCATTACTGGCAAATGATAGCAATGCCTCATGCTAGCTCCAATCTTCAATCATTCAAGAATAACTAGACAATTAATGAAATTTCTGCCCCTTCTGGAATGTAAAAAAAAACAACTTGAAACTGTATTTCAGATGCTAAACAATTAATTCCTATAGAGAACTCTTTTCTAAAACTGAAAAAGCAACCGGTAGGTAATTATGATTAAATGATTTTGTATGGTAACTAATTAAAAACTATTAATAAAACTATACTCTTAAAAAGCATAATTTTCCTTGATCAGAGCAGCACTGCAAACTAAAACAATAAATAAATAATAGCATAGGGAAAAAAGAAAAATAAGATATTTCTAATTGTTGATTTTTTTTCTTGATTAAATTACTTTCTTAACCAATAATAAAGTTAAATTGAGATGGGGAGATATTTTGTAAAGCTGAATTTTTTGCTTATTCATTTTCCAAGTTGTAGTTATAATGTATGCAACTCTAATCGCTGTCAACTGTCTCCTTTGCAAATTCATTATTTAATAAACGGCTGCCCTTTTATTAGTGAGCTAGATCAAAATCATATTAAGGAACACATTATGCATATAACCACTCTTTTATTCTTTTATTATTAAAGCTGGTCTCTAAAAAGGCATACATTTTTTTTTTTCCAACAGAAATAGGGATTTATTAGTGGAAGAGTAGGGGAGGGCAGCATCAAGACTCATGGGTGCAGGGCCTGCCATTTGTGCAGGGGGCCATGATTAGGAACGTATTTGATCCCACAGCCATCTGGGATGAGCTGCTTTTCAGCCACCGTGTCTTCAAACTCATTCACATTAAACTTAGTAAAGCCCCACTTCTTAGAAATGTGGCTCTTTTGACGACCAGGGAACTTGAACTTCGCTCTGCGTAGTGCCTCGATCACATGCTCCTTGTTCTGCAGCTTGGTGCGGATGGACATGATTACCTGCCCAATGTGGACAATGGCCACTGTGCCCTGGGGCTTTCCAAAGGCACCCCACATACCTGTCTAGAGTCTGTCAGCCCCAGCACAGGACAACATCTTGCTGATGCGGATGACATGGAAGGGGTGGAGCCGCACTCGGATATGAAAGCCATCTTTGCCACAGCTTTTCACCATGTACTTGTTGGCACAAATACGGGCAGCCTCTAGGGCTTCAGAAGAGAGCTGCTCATATTCATCCCACACCATGTGGCCACAGAGTGGGAACTCCTCTACTTTTGCCTTCTTCCGCCCCAGATCAAAGATTCAGATCTTGGCATCAGGGACACCTCTGCAGAAGCGAGACTTTGGGTACGGCTTGTTCTTACAATACCGGTAACATCGGGCGGGTTGGCAGCCCATAGTGACACAAGGATCTTCGATGGCATGCCAGAAGAAAAGAGGTAAAAAGGCACACATTTTAAAACTCACCCTAATGAGGGCAGTATGAGTATTCCACGATTCTAGAAAGATACCTTCTAGAATAAAGTACATCAAAAAGTTGTCTTTAATTTGATATATATGTGGCCTAATGCCAGTTACTGAACTTTCTATGTATGTAGCGTACAATGTCACATTCACGGCACAAAATATGATTAAAAGGATGTGACACTGTTGCAACACTGTTGAATGTTGACACAAAACCTCACAACATCTAGTTCAAATCCTTCCTTCTATTCTTTTTATATTACTTGGGTTTAATGGAAACCTAGAAAAAAACATAATAAATTTCCCCAATAAGTCAACTCACTGTGCTTGTATCTTTTCAAGTCAAGAAAATTTCAAATAGAGAGAAAGCAATTCACCACATTCACAGGTATTTTATTAACACTGTGGACAAAAGGTCAGACTTTGGAGCCCAACTACTTAAGTTTAAATCCCATATCCACCAGATAATAGTTGTGTAACTTAGAGTAAGTTGCTTAACTTCTCTGTGCTTCAGTTTGCTCATTAGTAAAATAACACTAGTAAAGCGACATAGCTTATAGAGTTCTTGAAGATCAAATGAGTTACTATTTGTATAGTAACGAAGAATACAGTATACATGATATAAATGAGTTATTAAGTTGATGTAATGGAATTAGTAATAAGAAATAGCAGGAAAAGCTTACTGACAAACTTCTACAGTACCACTCCATTTTGTCAGTAATGAAAGATATATTCATTTTAATTCTGAGAAATTTTCTCGGCTTACTTTCAAGCCAAGTATCCATTAAACACCTACTGCCTTGAGGACACAAAATAAATTTATGTGATCTCTGCCCCTCGAGAAATTACAATCTTTCTACACTAAATATGTTATAAATATAGCGCAAACTTGAAAGGAACACGCAACAAAAACACAAGAGTGCCCTATAAATTACCCAATAAAGCTATTTGCAAATTTAAGTGCCCTAAGATGTATATTAATGAAAACTCAACTATCAATTGCGATTGTGTTTAACAGCTACCCAGAAAGCTACTACAAACAATGCCACATATATATCAATAGACATTCTGTAGAAACAGTAATATTTTCCACCTGGGATGGCTGACAAAACCCGTGAGAGCAATTCTGCAAAACCACGGCAAGCGAAAACTGCACTGGAAATATCAAAGGGCTCGGGACTGTTTTCTAAGAACCGAGAAGTCAACGTGGTGGGCTCAACGAATACCTGAATCTGCAAGACGAAGAGAGGCTCCGAACCACGACCATGAGTAAGGGCCAGGTTGTTTCCGTGGCTGATGTGACCAGTCCTAACGGCCTAGAGGTGAGAACCAGGGATGTCCCCTCCCAAGTGATGTACCCGGCCGTGCGTTCTCTTGCGCAGGGGCTGTGGGTAGAAGACAGCTTTAGAGTGAGGAGCCCCGGCGATGCGGAGCACCAAGCACCCTGAGCAACCGCACCACCTCTCGCGGCCCCGCTCCAGGGCACTGGAGACGCCGGGCTGAGACCTCGGGCTTCTCAGAGCCAACAGTTTGCACGCCGCTTCCCATCTCTCCGGGATGAGCACCTAAACCCCGACCCCGGCGACGACATCCGGCTCGGGGAGCAGCGGATCGGCCTGCCCGAGACACCAGAGCCTACTTTCCTCGCTCGGCTCGACCCCGCCTCGGCCGGCCGTCCACGTCCCGG